TGAACAGCAGTTTCGAGAACTAGCTAGGGAACTTTCATTGGGTCGCCTTGCGCCTGATGTTGAACAAGCTGAGCAAGGCATCACCAACAGGGCCCCTCAGTATCAGGACGTATCGGAAGACCTTCCCCAAGATTCGGATCATGAACTTGAAGATGATGTCATGCAAGAACCCGAACCACCAGGTATCGAGGACCAGGAAGAGGAAGATGAAGGAGGTCCCCGTAAGGTTCGTAGGAGATTCTATCGTTCGCCTGAATATTGGAAACGTAGGTCCGAAGGAGCACCACCCCTAGGTACCATGCACGAAGGGTCCATGCCCGTTCGAATTGGACCTGGTGCGCAATCGTCCATGACTCATGAGGGCGAGCCTCCAAGCAAGCGTCGGATAGTGCTGGATCAAATTCCTGAAGAGAGTGAACCTGAACAAGTCATAGATCAGGAAATGAGTCCTCCCGCAGTCGATATGGAAGAATACTCTCCGTCGCAAGCTCCAGAGGCACTTCCTCCTGAGCCTGAGGTGCCTGAACTGTCCTTGCCCGAAGCATTAAATGAACCTCATGCTCCGGATAGCCAGTCAATGCAAGCCGAACCTGCCACTGATCTCGCGCCCTCGGAAGCAGAAGATCGCCTGAACCAAGCAGCTGATGTTCCCATCCCTGTTGCAAGTGATGATGAATTGCTTGTTGATATAGGTGAACAAAAGTGTAAGCTTTCCGAGAGTCCTTGAGGTTTCCATGAACATCTGTCGTGATGACATCACCGGGAACCCACTGTGTTTGTGGCAAGTGCTTGAAGAATGTCTCTTGGTTTCAACTCCGAAGGCCAAGCTTCGCCGAGTCGAAATTAGCTATAGGAGGTTGTCCCCTAAGGATCAAGAGCTCTTCCAAAAGGCCATGCAAAAAGAGTGTCAATCTTGGGTTGATAACAAAGTCACATCACTCTGTAAGAGTAAAGGAATATCACCCGACCGCATCATCCGAGCTAGATGGGTGCTTACGTGGAAGAAAAGTTCAGATCCCGATGACCGTACCAAGGTTCCCAAAGCTAGGTTGGTTTTGATTGGATGGCAAGATCCCGAGTTGGGTAGGATAGCTACCGATAGTCCGACCCTTCGTAAGGAGACGAAGCATCTAGTCCTTGCCATCTGTAGCGCTAAGCATTGGAGAGTGTTTGGAGCTGACATCAAAACAGCTTTCCTTTCAGGGGATAAGTCATCGCGGGATATTTACTTCAAGCCCCCAACTGAGCTTAAGGAATGGTTAGGTTTGAGGAGTGATGATCTCTTTCGCCTAGAAAAGGCGGCATATGGTTTGGCAGAAGCTCCCAGACCTTGGTTCCTTCGATTGAGCCGTGAAATGCGTGAGGCCGGTCTGCAACAAAGCCAGCTAGATCCACGCCTGTTCACTCTTCGTATAAAGAACCAGCTTTGCGGTGTTTGCGGTATATTCATGTTGATGATATCCTCGGAGGGGGTACTCAAGCCATGGATGCTGTGTTGACAAAACTTCGCGCTAAGTTACCATTTGGGGATTATCGCGCTTATATCATCCGGTACACTGGCATAGAAATCCGACAGAACCCTGCCACTTTCGAAATCGACATCGGTCAGGAAGCATACATCGATGCGTTGGAATGTGTGCAGACAAAGCCTCTGGGTGTAGCAAGCGCGCCACTCCCGGACAAATCCCTCTTGAGGACATGTGCTGGTCAACTAGCATGGGTGACAAGCTCCACTCGCCCAGACCAAGCATTTTTAGCCTCCTACTTGCAAGGGGTCCAGGACAAAGGATTGGTTTCGCATGTGCATTTGTATAATAAGGGGATCAGAGAAATGAAAGAACATAAAGTTTGTTTGAGGTTTCCCAGCACCGTCCCGGTTGAAGATTGGCGATTGATTTGCATCTCCGACGCTGGATGGGCCACGCGTGAAAACGGAGATAGTCAGGGTGGATACTTATTGCTGCTAGCAGAGTCGAAGATGCTCAAACGCGAAAGAGCTAGATGTTGGCTTGTTGATTGGTCGTCCAAAAAGATGAAACGCATGGTTCGATCGTCCGTAGCCGCCGAGACCTTAGCTGGCCAGAATGGGTTAGATGCCACCGAGCTGTTTCAGGCCTTGTTGGAGGAAACTCTTCACGGGATAGCCCCCAAACAATTCAGAGAGATGACCCCAAAACATGAAGCTGCGCTTGTAATTGATTCCAAAGGTTTTTACGATGCCATCACCCGAAGTTGCTGTTCCCAGGCTGTTTCGGTTGAGCGTAGATTACAAATAGACTATGCCATAGCAAAGGAGACCATGTTGAAGCAAAACATCACTGGTTTTTGGGTCAACAACTTGAGAATGGCTGCCGATTGCCTCACCAAGCTGAAGGGTGAAACAAAGTTGTTGTATGAAATCCTCGAAAGAGGTATCTACCAGATTGCGGTTTGCAAGGTCTCCGGCCGTCGCGAGAAGACTGAGATGGGTTCCGACGACAAAGCGTGAGTCCTTTTTCCATATGCTGCCAGCACTTCGTCTTTTAGGGAATAGCCTTTCAGTGAAAACTGTGTTATAAGGTCTTGCCATAAGACAGCGTTAAGTTGTATAGTGTATAGTTCTTGGAAGGGATTCGTCGTATGTTTTTGCCAACCAGCCATTTTGTATAGATAACATCAGGATTGTCCGAGCCTTTTTCGCATCGAGTTCGGGAACTGATAGACCTGCCACCTCCTGTCCACAGTGATATGGAGTCCAAGCAGATCCGTAAGATGCAGCATGAAGCCGATGGATCCGGTCCCTTGAAAGAAGGAGAAGTGAGCCTTGCTGCCGGTCTCCTCCGAAGGGCTGTTCAGCAGCAGCTGATTGTGAAGGCCATCGCTGTTTCCAGTGGCAGCAAGTCCCTTGCGGTAGCCTCCCAGACCTTCTTGAGCAACCTTGAGGAAGCGCCTTGTGGATCCATGACGGATGCTCCCAAGCGCCTTCGTGGTGAGAGCCCTGACCAATGGCCATGCTTGAGTTTGCAAGCGCCGGAATGCTGTCTCCGACCTCCGGACGCCTTGGCTATGTGCCGCCAGAGGACACCTATGCTGGAACTCGCAAAAGCCGTGGCTCGAAGATGAATCCATTTGAAGGTGAGATGCTCAATGTCACTTGGCAAGAAGAAGATTTCAATGTGCCGCTGCCAGCTGAAGTGAACACAGCTTTGGAGTGGTCCGCTACAGAGATCAAGCTGCCAAAGATTGCTCATATGAACCTCACCTATGGTGAATTCGTTGCAGGGCAAAGTCAGATTCTGAGCTGTTGGCTTACGCCAAATTCATCTTGGACTCGTACGGTCCGAATGTGAAGAGCAAGAAAACTCAGAATTATACACATGCTGTTGATTTCGCATACTTTTTGAGCCGTGTGAAATTTGATGCTGGATCCAGCTCAGCCGGGTTCAAACGCACCCTTCGCACAGTCGCCAATAAGGTAGCCTAAGCTGTGGCAGTTCCCTCAAGTGGTCCATATCCTCTTGGATAGAGGGCGTGTGAAAACCAGTCATGCCTTGCATGTTCATGACATGTCTTTGATGATTGTATCCGCGATCCTTTGGGCCACAGGGCCCTTGATGCCGTATGACGGATATCGCATGGAGGAGAAACGTTGAGCGGTGCGGCGGATTCCTTTCGTCGGTTGTTGGATTGGAGGTTGAGGAGCATTTTCCTTTGTTGGTTGACGCCCTGCTTTGCTACCAGTTCCGCAGTATGTATGTATAATTTTTTCTAGGGAGGGACTTTTTTGCATCTGCTTCACAGAGGGTGTTGTTCACCCGTGCTGCCAGCCGCCACCGCGCTGCATCTAGAAGAAGTCCACGTGGTAAGCCGCGTCCTGTGGCTCTTCATGCGCTGCATTTTCAGCAGGAAACAAAGGTCTTGGCCTGAGGATGCTGGGCTCCGATCTGGGAGCCGTGGGGAGCTGAGGCGGATGCTGGCTGCTGTGTGCATCTCTTTCCGGAGTAGCCGGACTGGTTGAGAGCTGGGTGGGAAAGTATGTCCGCAACCCGGGACTATCAGGTCTGAGCTTGTCCTGCCAGATCCAGTTGGTGCACTGAGCTTGGCTGCATACCACATAGCTTCTGCACCAGGGTGGTGTCTTGGAAGGTGTCATCGTACCTGACGCGGCGAGCCTCAGTGGTCTCTACGGTGCTAAGGAATAAGGCACAGACCAGGCCACCCTCCGCGAACTGGCCAGAGAGACCGGCAAAGGAGTAGCGCCAGTTGAGATCAGGATATCCCGCAGGTTGAGGTGACGAGGAGGTAGTTCACCTAGTAGAGGCACCAAAGATCTTGTCCCTCGCTATTGCGGGCAAAGTCCAGTGCCAGGGATGAAGGCAGAGGCGGTGTTGCCCTTGAAACCCGCAATGCACACGTGGTAAAAGTGGGCTCCGCACTAGCTGGTTTTCTTGCGGGCACCAGCTTGAGCACTTGTGGCCTTGAGCCATGTATGTATGTATGTATGTATGTATGTACAGAGATGGGTAACCGCAGTAAATACTACTAGTAGACGGACAAGACATTGCGAGACATACCCATATTATACGGCGTGTTGCAATTCCTTCTTGACTAGGGTGAGCGCTTGCCAATCAGTGTGAATCCTCCTTCCGTGCAGAAGCTGGAGGCGAAGTGCGTGCTCATGTGACAAGCGTTGTGCAAGTTGTGTAAGACCCTTGTGTTGTGCAGCAAGGGTTTGTTCCAGCAAGTTGGGGTGTAGCAAGCTAGGGTCTTGCGCGCTTGGGTGTTGGATAATGATACTCTGTTTGAGGTTTGTCAGAGTAACTTTGGTTTTTGCAGCGATTTGCCTGCAATCCGCTGCCGTGCTCGCAAAGCAGTGATAATTCTAGTTGGTGGGCGGAGTGAGAAGCCTACCAGTACAGAGGCGTCGCATCCTCAGTGAAAACTTGCAGCTTCAAAAGATGAGAAACTTTGCCCTTTGGGTTGGAAGGCTTTTCATTTGAGTGGTGCTGAGGCGTCGCCGAATGGGCGAGTGCGGGCCGTAGAAGAAACATGAAGAACCCCCTTTACGTTCACTCGACAAATCTCTCGATGCTGAGGGCAAGCGCCCAGTCAGAGGCAGTTTTGCAACAGCGAAGAAGGGGATGAGTTAGTTTTGAACATTGAAGTTTTGTTATGTTTTTGCCGGACAGGAACGCAAGGGGTTTGAACTCCCATCGCACCTGCTTCATCCTCAGAGCTGCTTGAGAGCAAACAACTTCACCATTTTTTTTCCAACTCTTTGTCTTTGTCACTGGGACCGATTGTAGATCGAAAACTATTCTGAATGCTCTCCCCACTATTCTATATACCACGTTCACATGGCAAATATGCAACTGTACGCAGTGTTTTGTGCTACTCAGCAAAACATGCTCGATTGTCTTCATCAGTTTCTCATAGCATTAATTGTCATCGATTTCACAAGATTGTCATCGCCACAACGCTGTCATCGGGTAGGGGTGCGTAGGAGCGGTGAGTGGGTCCACGGCTAGGATAAGAATAACATGCTGTTGGAAGTCCTTCCAGGATGCTACAGGCACACACGCGTCGACACGGTGCTTCCAAGACAAGTCTACGCATGCGCACGCAAGAACAAACAAGTTGGGTCGGGTTCCAGAAACCTTCCTGGACGTCCCGCGCAGCCAAGACTGGCTATAGGTGTGAGAAAAAGACCGCGAATCAAGGTCCCCCCAGGCTCATGTCGTAGGGTCACAAAATCCTGCACCCATGACCAAGAAAAATAAGATACATTTGTGTTGGTGGCCAGAGCATCCCCAACCTCATGAGGAAATTTTCTCGCGACTGAAGGACTGCAATTCAGAAGCTGGGAAGCGGAGCTTACGGAGAGGCAAGAAAGACACCAAAGAAACTTTGAGGGAAGTCGGATGCAAAGGCTGAAGAACCACCTGGACCCTGCGTGCACCTTCGCATTTCATGTTGCTTTCATCCTCGGACAGGTCTATCTATGTGAAGATTCCAGAAATGGATCGCAGGCCAGCATAGTGGAGTAGGTCTTTATGTCCTTTGAATTTTTGGCTTGTTGTTTTTGTGCTGAAAAAGGTTGCTGTGAAGTGGATTCGCAACTTTACCCAGGACTGCGCGGGGTTTCGTTTCGTCTTTGTTCGAAGATCTCAAACGTACAACTAACTTGGCAGTGTGGAGCTGTCAGGACCCTCTTTGTGGCAAGAGGATTCTCCGGGAGTGGGGGCCCCAACTGCCAGTCGACTGTTCAGCAGGCGTGCTTCGTGCTTTTGATGCGTCCAAAAGTATTTTTGGAAAAAGAAGGGATGGAATAGATTGAAAGACAAGGCCCGTTTCACCCACCTTGACATTGCAATTGCGATTCTGGATTCGTGCGTCTTGATATTAACGTCTGTTGCTTGGAACAAACATGATGCCTCATGCCAGGCAGAACTCGCATGCCAGGCACAGTGATTGAACATGCCTCATGCGACGGATCGCTTCTAAGGATCCGACTTTTGGCGGCCCTTCGCCATGAGAATCTTTTGCGGGTGCCATGACTTCGAACGTTACGTGCGTTTTTGTTTTGGAACGGGCCATGTCAAGAGGCGGTCTCTTCTGAATCCGTTTTCCTCTTCTTGGGGATCGGAACGCCTGAACAGTCGGTCACTCCGGTGACAATAAAAAGAGACCTTGAATGATTTTGGAGTGTAATATCCACAGCAACCATCACAGTCATGACGTTCTAATTAAACACGTTTTGGCTTCAAGATTGTTAGGTCAGGATTTTTCCTTGTTTGCTGTCAAAACATTCAGGAACCGGAAGGAATTCACGATCCAACAGGATGTTGAACCGAAGTTCCGACAGAAAACTCTTTCCGGTGCCTGGCGCCGCACCGGTGCCGCGCCAGCTGCTGGATCTCCCGGCGGTGCCGGATCCGGACTTCGACGACGTCTACATCGTCATGCGGCCGCCCCAGCTACTAGCAATGGCCGCGGTGCGGCAACTTGGGTGAGTTTGACAGGGTCAAGTTGAAGCTTTCTGAATTGTGATGAAGGAACCATCATCAGGAGTGAGTCCTCACATGATTATAGATGTCAATTGTGCATGTTGCTTTTGGCCAAGGCCCTACCTGCACTTGGACCTGCACCGGGCATGAAACCGAGAAGAGGAACTTGTAGCAGTGCATTTGTCTCTGAGGTGTATTCCAAGCCTCAGGGCCTACGACCCTGCACTTCAATACTTACATAAAGTATATAATATTTTATAATATAACAGGAAACACATGATCTCCGACGTGCCCTTCATGGTGCAATTGGGATTATGAAAGCCTGAGGTTATCTACTCCAAGATGAAACTTTCGGAGTCTCATTGCCAGGCCATGTTGGTGTCAGCCATGCTGTGATCAGTTTGCCTGGGGCAAGTGACGACCGAATGCCAGGCCTTCGTGTGTCAGATCCTTCGAGGATTGAAGGAGCTGGGCGGCATGGGCATGTCAAAGGGTGGAAGTATTGTGAGAATTTCATGTGCAATTGAATTATATTGAAACAAGGACCCATTTGAACAGTGCCAGGAAGAAAACATGTCAATTGTAACTACAACCCAATATGTTTGGAGGCTTGAATAGGCTCACATGAGTTGCGATTGCTTTTGCCCTTCTAGTTTGGGGGACGTACCATGGATGAACACCCAGTACCTTCAGCTTGATTGGCACTTGCGCCAGCGACGAAGACCCAGTACCTTCATTCTGCCGGAGTTGCTCACCGCGACCTGAAGCCGAGCAACATCCTGGTGAACAAGGACGGCCCTGTTGTGCAGCGCAGAATGACTTCCGAAGTCACCGAAGTCAGACCGGGTCATCAAGCATGTCAGATCGGTTTGGTTGACTCGGATGGTGAACATCTCCGTGAAACTGGTGGGTTTTAAAAACTTGGGGGACACATGACATATGATGACCTGCTGATGCCTTGCCCTATTCACTATTCACCCACCCAAAGTTATTTTTCTCTCTTTTTCACACGCCTGCCAAGAGGACTGTGCTTTGAGGATTGCAGACTTTGGCCTGGCCAGAGGGCGCTCCAACTCTGACGTCTGGGCCTTATAGGAGCAAGGACGCTACTAGGGGCTCCTGGCATCGCTACTAGGAACAAGAAGCTACTAGGGGCTCCTAGCATCAGTTTCTCTGGCTTGGTCACTCCCGAAGCAGCACGCTGGCACGGCATCCGTATGTTCAAGATAAACCTTCATGCAGGCTCACGCTTACAGCTGGTACACGGGGTGACCGTATGGAAAGAGAGGTTTGACCCGCAACAATCATATATGATGCCACTTTGGGCTCGTATACATAGGTCCGTGACTGGTCGGCATCTCCAAGCTGTAAGAAACTGCAACTATAAACTGCTATTGAATACGTCAACGGCATCAGTGGGATCGACCCCTGTTTGTTGCCGGTGTAGGCACACAATTGTTTTCTTACTGCTGGACTGATCAGCCAGCTGTGAGGAAGAACTCACTGACTATGTCGTGACTCGTTGGTACCGCGCTCCTGAACTGATGTTGCAGCCTCAGCTTTATTTGGAACCACGCAGGGGCATTGCTGCCACCATGTATGGCGATACCCAAATGATAGCATGAAGATGCATGAAGTGCTTTATTTTTTCAATGTGAGACTAGACGTCCTCTCGAGCGATTTCTTGACCAAGGCTCCTTCCTTGTGGATACTTCGAGGCAGCTCTTGGGGCACTCCCGGCGCTTGAGCTCTCCGCCCATCTCCCTCCATTTCGATCGTGCGAGTGGACTCCACGCATTTGGGGCTCGGAGAGATTGCTAGATAGTCTTGGATCCTTAGATCATCTTAGATCTTAATTCGGTGAATAGGACCAATGTCTGTTTTTGGATCTCCAACCATTTTTGTTGGGTCACCAGAGCTCCAACGTCAGGCGGTGGATCTTTGGTCCGTGGGATGCATCCACTTCGAGCTCATGGCCAGAGAGGTTAGGACACAGACACTGGCCAGGGACAGAAGGAACTGAAGGAACTGAAAGAACATAATTCAGCTGAGAGGTGCTTTTCCCGGGCAAAGATCACTTGGACATGCTCAAACGCATCGCTGCTACTTTAGGGTCATGACCTGAGTGGCGTTTCTCTTCAAAGTTGAGACGTTTAAGTAGTATGTTTGTGGAAGCAACTACTTTGATGTTGCACGCGTTTAAACATCTCCGTCAGTTTCTCCATGGAGAACGACCTTGGCTGGGTTCCAGAAAAGGACATGGCACAGGCGGGGCCGAGAGTCTGCCGCCCCAGCAGTAAGGACCTATTCTGCCGCTGTTTGCTGCCCTTTGAGCAAGTCTTCGTGCAAACTTGCCGAGAAATCGGATGGCTTTGTTCGTGAGGTTCAGGGAATGGTGCGAACACTGAAGCTCCCCGAGGAGCCAAAGGCATCATCTTCCTTAGAGGCGTGGAGTGGTGGCATGGCGCAAACCACTAGGCGGACTGGAAATGGGCTGAGCTGGAGTGGTGCATTCAATTGCGTGTGTTTCTTTTTGGGCCCACAGACTGACCACATAACCACATAGGCGCCAATGTGCAGTTGTCTTGTTCTCCTTACCAAAGAGTTGTTTAGTCCCTGGACTGACAGGAACGCCTGCCAAAGGCATCGGAGGCGGGATTGTCGCAGAGAAGGAATTCTGCTGAGATTCAACGATATGGGTTGGCTTAGATTTACATATATGTTTCCATGATACAATTCTGCTTGCGGCGTGTTTTGATCTCATGTTGGGCTTACAAGTCAAGAAGTACCAGTGGCTGACATGCTGATTTGAATGCAGAGTATTTGCTCTCAGGATTGCTTAGACTTGTTGAACAAGTTCTTAGACAAGATTCCAACAAGACGGATCACAGCGTCGGCTCCTCATTGGTCATGTTGTGTAGAATTACGTAGAATCTAAACACGCAAAGGCGTCGACGAACCTCCAATCAAACTTGTTCTTGCGAGTGCAGTGTGGCGTTGGCGCTTTGAACATTCTGAGTTGAGTTCCAAGTTTAGGCCTTTTGGGGCCAGTGACATATTCAGAGTTTTCAGCGTTGCTACTTCATGCTGCCTGTTCAAAGCATTGTGGCCACGTCCACCTTTTGTGGGGTGTTAAACTCGCTTATAAAGTTCATGCAAATTCCTTGTTGGACTATGTTTGTCCCTAGAATGTTTGAAACATTTGTACTCACCCCCATGAATCATGAACGTTCACTTGTAGCAAAACGACAGGGCTTACTTTGGAACCCCTATTTTTCCGGGATGTTTTTGCATTGTTTTTTCCGGATTTTTTTTTGCGTTTTTTTTTCCCCTACTGCTTTTGCTTTTTGTTTTTGCTTTTGCTTCTGCTTTTTGCTTCTGCTTTTGCTTCTGCTTTTGCTTTTTGCTTTTGGCCTTTGCTTCTGCATTTGCTTTTGCTTTTGCTTTTTCTTTTTGCTTTTCCTTCTGCTTTTGCTTTTTGCTTCTGCCTTTGCTTTTGCTTCTGCTGTTGCTTCTGCTGACTATCTTCTTTGCATTGACACTGCCACAAAGTTGGATGATAAGACCTTCACCTTGAGCTTTGACACCCAATTACACCAATCAAGAAACGAAGCAGCCCAGCGCTGTCTATATTTGATTTGCATTGCGGGGGGAGGCGCTGCGCCCTCCCCCGCACCCCCTCCCGCTTTTTTAACAGTTGCCACTACCGTCCACCACCCCTACTATTTCCAATACCTCTATCACTCGGACCACCCCGCTACGAGTATTACCACAGTTACCACAACTACTATATTCTTTACGTTGACGCTGCCACAAAGGTGGATTTCTACTTTGCTTAGCCCAAAGAAACCCGAAGCCACTGAAGCCCAAAGACCGCAGAAAAGTCCCTATTATAGTTCCTCTCTCCTCCTACTTCTCCTTCGTTAAGTGGGATGCCTTTTCCGGAAGAACGCCTAAAGAAACCCTAAAGACAAGAAACCGAGCCCAAAGAAACCCGAAACCAGTGAGTGAAGCTAAAGACAACCGCAAAGAAGCCCCTAGTAAGTGGAATACCTTTTCTGTTCCCTCCCTTTGTCACTGTCACGCTGGCTTTGGTGCTTCGTCCCCTGCCCTTTCTGCTGCTCCTAGTGCTTGTAAAGCACTCCCAGCAGAAGCAAAAGCAAAAACAGTAGGGGAAAAAACGTGAAAAAAATCCGGAAAAATCTGAAAACAATTCCCGGAAAAAATATCCATCCCTTACCTTACTCACATCGGCTGCGTGCAAAGAGAGTGACGGATTGAGATGCAAAGACCGTGTCAAAACCAATGTGATCGCATCTAGGGCGCGGATCCATGACGTGATGGTTCACACACTGCATGAAGAATGGAGACACGAAACCTGACCCGCAGAACAAACAGTGTGAGACGGGGCGGGCTTGTTTGTGGATTGGATGCTCATCGCAAGTTACTGCTTGACAGCGATGTGTGTTTCAATCGCCCCCAGGTTAGCTGCCCTGGATCATCCGTGCGCGTTCATCATCCGTGTTTCACGAGGCAGCTTTAATATGCTTGAAGCTGACGATCCTTTTGGCAGGTACTTAGCGCACTTGCATGATCCGGCAGGGGAGTCCACTGCACCCAGACCATTTGCATGGGGCCAATTTCTCAGAATTGTTGTCAGACCTTTGCGTCGTTTTGCAGTCGTACATCCAAATTGGACATTTGAAATCGTGCTCGCCATGCAGATTTCGACCACTTTGAACCCTCAAAGCGCGCCTTGAAGGAGACGGTCGGAGACGAATCAACGGTATCCATGTATCAACAGGATCGAATAGTGTCAAAGAACAGAACTTCACAGAGTTTGCATTCTTGAGGACAGGGTCTATGCCGAGTGTGCTCGGCTTCATCCAGAAATCGTGCAGAGCTAAGCCAGCGAAGCAGCGGACTTGTCATCCACGGTGAATGTGGCGACTTGAGGTCGCCCGCGACAAAGAGTGGTTATCTGCCCGTGGCTTCCTGCCACAAGGAGATTCTGCCCATTGGTTTGCGTGAGTTTCACTGCTTGAAGATCTTCGGGATACCAGCTGACACGTTTCGCTGACTAGTTGCAGAAGTGGATAGAACATCGATTGATGCATTTGCGTTGCTCGTGTGATAAACCCGGAGCTGTTTTGCTTGAAAAACGTCTTGGAGACATCGCTGCGACTGCGCAGGGACGGCGCCGTTGGGGCCTCCACCTAGCCGAGCGCCAAGGACAGTCCAAGGGGTAATCGTTTGCTGATCACAGAAGGAAGAGATTCAAGTCAAAATGCTTGGACATCTTGGAATTGCAGCGGGGTTTGCAGTTGTTGCACGACCTTTTTTGCAGGCCACCTACTGTAGCTGGTCCTCAGCAAAGCACACTGAACGGAGAGGGGTACTGTTTGTGACGACTCCAGCATAAACTCATATATATATATATATAACATGCTAGCAAGGATTGGGCCAAAGCACTTGCTTCTGTTGTTTTGACATGATGCTGGCTAAGGTCACAAGCATTTGAGTGAACACAATTCAGTTGCCTGACCGTCTGTCTGCAGCTTGCCTGCCAAGATGCATTCCCTCTGGTGGTACTCGTAGCAGTGAGATTGGTCAAGGCTAAACTAGAAGACAGGAAGCATCTTGACATCTTGTTACAGACTTGTCTGTGCACCTTCACATGGACCGCAAGGAAGCCAGGTCTGCTTTGGTAGGTCCTTAGAAAACAAACATGAGCAAATAGATGCTCATTGACTCATGGCTTTTCCAAGGATAGTTTGCTGTAGATTCTTATTGCCCGAATTCACTGCATGGCGGAATCCTCGCTGGGAAGGCAAAGGCAACTCCGAGAGCATTAACATCATTAAAGCATATTACGGCTGATAACGCTTCTTGTTACTAGTAGCGTCCTTCTTCCTAGTAATGCAAGGAGCTCCTAATAACTTCTTGCTCCTAGTAGCGATGCCCTTTGTCACTATAGCTTCATTTGCAATCCCTGGCGGGTGTCCAGGGCAGGGTGCACGTGCAGAGCACCCTGCCAAATAGAGCGAAAGCCGTTGTGTGGCTTTGACTCGTCCGTCTATACCATTCACAGAATTTGATCATCATTTCTGTTGTGTGTTTCATGTCCTTCTTGCTTTTCATGGTTCTGCTTGCATTGCAGAACTGGGAATCTTCACATCATCTCCTAGTCCCTAATGGTCTCGAAGCAGTAGGGCTTTGCACCTCGAGAGTAGCTGCACAGCCTTCTGCTCCGAGTCAACATTTGGGCCAAGCATCTCTCCGATCGATGCATTCGATGCTTCTTTCCTCAGCGGGAAGCAGGCCGAGCGCCTGCAAAGTGGCGGCTTGGACTGGACTCGCGAGAAGGGCTCATCAACTTGACAATGAAGTCAAGTTGTTGCTTTCAGGAACCAGACGCCCGTGCCTTTTCTCAGACAAGCCCAGTTGCCAATGCACGTTTGTAAAAGCAAGCTGGGCAGGGCCCTCGGCAGCACTGACTGATTGGGACTGGCAGTTGTTGTTGTTGTTGTTGCTGCCGCCTTTTTTTCCCCATTTACGCCAGGTCTTTGGACGTGCATTGGTTGGCTGTCCTTTGTCAGCGCGCATCTTAAAAAAAGCGGTGAACCCGTAGACATGGCAATGGCACAAACAGCCAGGTCCATCGTGGTATTACGCACCAACATGAACACCACACAATAAGTGTTTTCTTTTTTGGAGAGCCAAATGGACGCTACTAGGCTGGAGGCCATCGCTATTAGGTAGGAGGCCATTGCGACTAGGAACAAGGATGCTACTAGGCTGGAGGCCATCGCTATTAGGTAGGAGGCCAAAGTGGGTGGCCTCAAACATCTCGGGGTGAAGTACAGACGCCGTCACCAAGGGGAGTGGCGTGACAGTAAAAATCCCTCTCTCCAAATTCCGTTTCACTTGGCATGCTTGGGTTCTTGGGTGTCGTTTTGCAAGATGTTAATTCAGCGTGTGCGTACAGTAATTACCTCTGAACGGATTGCACCCTTTTGCCTGCTGGGTTGAGCGGGCTTACACTTGAGAAAGGACACATAAAAGATTTAAAGAGTGACAAAACCATGAGACCTCAAGAGTGTGATTTTTCTCAGGCTGTCCTCCGCTGCGAATTCTGCGATCCAGCGTCCTTCAAGTGCCCAACTTGGCTCGTCGTGACGTGCATTGACAAGAAACTTGTGGCACAGAGTTCAAGCATTTTCAAGCTAGCTTTGTGAGGATGTATGGAACCCCTGAGAAATACATGATTGGACACTTGGAGAGTATGTCCGTAGCTTTCTGATCAGCACTGGGGTAGCCAGATTTAGTCGTATCAGTCAATCGGTGGCGTGCTTGCTTCTTTTTTGGGACTGTCAGGCTTCGTTGGAACACGCAGGCCGAACTGAGAGAGCTTGTCTATTTCTTCCTCTCCTTGACTTGACATGATTTGAATTAGATGCCAGCTTCAGAGAAAAACTCATCAAAGTCTAGAAAGGTCGCTGCTGGAGCTGCTGGCAGCATAGAAGTTGGCACGGGGAACATCCTCTGGGTCCCAAAGGCAGCGAGCTTAGAGGCTCAGAGCGAGCGACCTTTCGACACGGCATTCAATGTCTTCAGAGCTCTGTTAAGGTTTGCAAAAAATATAGAACCAAATGATTAGTACGGGTGCTTCTTCAAGGAAGCTAGCTTAGCCTAGTAGCTTACTTACCTCCTTAATTAAGTAAGAGCGGGCTTACAAAAGGGAGCCCATTTGGGGGCCCATTCGGAAAGAGCCAGTTGTGCGCGTCCAAGTTCGAGCTTTTTAGGCGTCCAAGGGTCGAACGTTGAACTTGGAAGCCGAGCCGGACCAGAGCATCACTGTGTCTTCGTCCAACTCCTCAGAAACTGAGAGGTGGATGCAGGGATGGGATGACTGATTCACCCGAGGCTCGTGCGAGCATCATAAAATACAGGGATGGTAGCAATGTTGAGGGAGATTCTATGATATTCTGCAATGCTTTTCAGGTCCTGCCTTTCAGGTCCCAGAAGCGCATGCAGGTCTTCGCTTTCCTTTCAATCAACCCTTGTGGCCCTTGCGTTTGCTTTCTTGCATTCGCCCCTGGGTAGGGAATCTGTCAAAGTCGGGATTAGACATACAATGCCCATCAAACTATCCACCAATCCAGGTTCTTCCACATCAGGGCTGTAGCTCACGTTGTCCGTCTTGATTTCGTCCTGATCACCATTGTTGAGGCGATCCAAGGCAGCTTTGAGGGTTGGCATCGTGGAGGAGGCAACTCTCCGACTGACGATGAGAAACCTCCAATTTGAAGGGCATAGGTCATCAGCTTCCGCAGGAAATTGGCAGTTCAGTCAGGGGAAAGACCCAGTGCTTGATGTATTTGCCGCACTTAAGGCTCAAGTCTTGAATGAATGCACTATGTCACACCGAGTCACACCCTACTGTTGATCGGGATCCTTGATTTGTTCGTACTTACTTTCTTTCTGCAGGTCTACGTTCGTCTCTTCTTCGTTGTACTAACATGCTTTCGACATACGTTTGTCAGTACACCTGTGTTATTGATTTTGCATATAGCTGTAGGAATAGCAAAAGCCACTCATAACTGCATGGTAGAGTGGCTTCATGCTTGCGGCTGACCCCGCTCGGAAGGCATGCAGGACTGACAGTTTGACAGCTCAAGATGGGTTGTAGCGCTACATTCGTAGCCTACTGGCTGTTTATGCAATCGCAGTTTTTCCCACCAATCCACCCTGCTGCTGAGATTTGGTTGCTTCCAAGCCACGGCAGGACTTCTGCAATTGTGATTTGCCGGGCTTGCCGTGCCTGGGGCTGTCCCCGACAGAGAGGGCTGCAAGCACAAGCTCAACGCCCAAGAGCATCTTCACCGCATTGCTAGCAACACAGTCCATGCAGTATTCGTGCAGACTTCTGCTCCAAGGACATGCGGCGACACATGCTCAGGACTCGTTGAAAGACATGGTAAGATATATCGAAGGAAAGCATAGAAAAGCAGTTTGCAGGACTTGCCCTTGCAGAAGATGAAGGTTCCAGGGCTATCACCCAAGACTCCGGAGACAGCTGCAAGCACCACTGCAACGCCTGGATCCACAAGCGACTTGACTGACTCAACCATTCACCGCAACTGCAATCACATTCCTCGGTGATCCAAGGACATGCCCAGGACTTGTGCACAGTGCACTTCGGAGTTCGCACACTCAAAGCAGACATGTCTATAAAATTGGTCTAGAATGGTCTTGCAGGACTTGGCCATGCAGCTTCTGAAAGTTCCAGGGCTATCACCCAAGACTCCAGAGACAGCTACAAGCACCACTGCAACACCTGTGTCCATCAGCACCTCGTGTGAATTGACCCAGAGTTCAAGCTGGAAAGGGACAGTTTCAGATGGACATGGCATCACCACCAAACATGACAGTATGCCTCCTTCCAATGGAGGACAAATGGGCGGTCATAGGTCAGGGGCAGCATTCAGCTTCGGTGTGTTGGGTGCCTAGACAGGTGAGTTTGCTCGATCTGGCTTTTGTTTGCATGTTCTTCTTTGTGTGACTAGTAAGGAACAAGGGCATTGCTACTACTAACAAGGGCATCGCTACTAGTAACAAAGGCATTACTTCATTACTTTCGCCAATGTTCTCTTCATGTTCCCAACTGTTCACATATGATCCACATGTTCCAACCATTTGAGACGCACTCAGCTGATGCATTCACGTCGGCCGAAGTGAGGAAGTGGAGGCTCAATTCTTCGGCCGGCTCCCTTGAGCCCGATGACCAGCCCAAAGCTCTTTTTCTTCGAGCCAGGCGGGATGGGCCGGAGGTCGCTTCGTCGCCCATTTTTTTCGAAGAATTGATCTTCAGGGATGGGCACAATCCTGATGACCGAAGATGCGGTGAACGATTTGAACAATGTCAAGGCAGCAGAAAGATGATACTCTATGAGACTCTATGCAGTCGATGCTACTCTTGCTTGTCGAAGTTGCTGATATGTGGCCACACCATGAGAGAGCTTGTGTGCTAATGTGGGAAAGTCGCGCCTGACCGAAGATGACACGACGGCCGCCTCGGCGCTTGGATAGACTGTGAATTAAGCAGTTGGCAAGTGGATCTTCCATTCACTAAAATGAGGGTTGGACAAAGCCGTGGGCATCCCACTAGCAATGGGTCCCGGAGGACTGGAATGCAGATCTTCCCAAGGGCTGGGAGTTGTGCAGAGACACAAAAGGGCCGTGATCTCAGAACATTGGTCGAATTGATCTCGTCATTTCTTGTTACGCCTGGAAGAGATCCACATGGGACGTGAAAACCACTTGGTTGTAAAGGAAAATAGTCTTCCAGTCTTAGCTTTCATGTTGATCTTTTCGGGTGTAACTTTACATTCACAGTCCTTCATGGATGAGCCACTTGCGGCTCAGCCAACAAGTAAGTTTCGTTAGTGGCAATGCCTGAGGCGTACCTTTTACTTCAATGCCTCGCAAAGAGACCTAGTGATCCAGCAACCAACCGCTCTTGAAGACTTTCAGGATCAAGAAGATATGCTCACATATGTTTGCCATGGCAGCCACCAAAATGCTTCACTGAAAGCGTCACCAGAAGCAGAAGCTGCTTTTAGCTCTCCTTTTGAGATCTAAAGTCTAGAGAACTCTTGGCCCAAGGCGAGGAACCAGCACATGGCACCATCCGCGAGAGGCATGGTGGATGTGCGTATTCGGAACTGGTACGTGTTGCATGCCAGTCCTTATTTGTGTCCGCAACTGAAAATGACCATGACTGAAGATAGTCAAACGATACAATCCTCAACTGTCATTCCAAGTTTCTGGCGGTTTCGATTAGTTCCTGGCTTTGATGGCAGGCCTTGCACGAGGAACTTCGACAGCTCATAGCCAAAGCTCGAAGGGAGCATCCTGGTGAGGCCACATAGCTGTTGGCACTTCCAGTCCAGCATGCCTTTTTCCACCGAACCTGACACATGACGCTTCTTCCGCATCTGATGGGTTGCGCAGCCAAGCGGCTTGGCTGTCCGCTTTGCAACAAGATAGGCGGTGTTCAATAGCGTTTCTTTTCATCCATCCTTTTCTGATACAATGGACAAGCTGAACCTCACCGTCACGAAGCACGTTCCCAAGTCTTTGTCAAGTGACCCACGCTCGCAACAGCGGGCGGAGCGTATATGGGTGGCCTGGACCAGGTGCGCGACAGCGTCGAGCGACGTGCCAATGCTGCACGATCCTTCATGCAAGAGCTGAATGAGCGCGCCCAAAGGCGTGGGCCCCTTTGCTCGGTGCTTCGACAAAACATGTTACACAAAAAAAGCATAACATAGTATAAAATAGCAACATATAGCGTTTCAAGGGAAGAATCGTATCAAAAGAAATAGCTGTGGGTTGTGGGCCAAACAGTTTTACTCTTGGGGTTCTTTCTTAGGAAAAAGGAAGCTGGCCACAGTCTCTGGCCGCGCCGCGCCCAATGCTGTGTCGGGACATTGTCCTTCTGTTGTCCTCCCGTTGTCCTCTTCTTGTCCTCCTGTTGTTCCCTTGTTGTCCTTCTGCAGGTGTCCAGATGGCAGCATGGCAGCATGTAGACATGATGACAGTGTGCTCGAAGCACCGTCCCCAAGCGCAATCAATGGGTCCAATGCGAGAACACCATTGCACACGTGCAAGCCTTGTGTGGCAAGCGGGAAAGTGCCAGACGGCAAGCGCAGAGACCGGAGTACCGCAGCATGGCCACGTGGCAGCCTGACAACATGAGAGCGTGCACTAGAAAGCAGTGAGGCACTAGCAAGACAACTCCAGAAAGCAACCCCGGAAGCCGATGTTCTCTCGTAGGAAGAAGCTGGCCACAGTGTCAGGCCGCGCCGGCGAGCCCTGTCCAGATGTCCTCTTCTTCTCCTGTTGCAATCTTGTCGGGCCTGTCCTGCTCTTCTATTGCTTTCTTGGTGTCTTCTTCACTCCGCTTGTTCTCCTGGTGTGCTCCCTCATGTTGTCCTGTTGTCCTTTTGGCGCTGTCCGGTCACGGCTTGTCCTTTTGCCCTCTTGGTGTGTTCGTTGTGTTTTCCTTCCCTCGTCCTTTGTCCCTCATGTCCTCCTCTGGTCTTTCTGTTGTCCTGCTGCTATCGCGCTGTTTACGTTGCTCTCCGAGGCAAGGGCTGGGGCTGCGGCCGCCCACCACCGCAACAACAATTCTTGCCGACTAAGCTGTTTGGGGTCCATGCTGTCAATGCGGGTATAATTGATCCGTTCCAATTTTTAGAACTGCTTTGGTTGTGTCAATGGTTGCACTGACAATTTCAATGATTGTGGTGTCTTGGGAGCAAACCTCCCTTGCACCTGAATTCTTTCTTTGGCCAGGGACCTCTCCAACTGGCGTGGGCCGTTCCTGTCCAAGGAGGCTGGACATCCCATGTTCATGGGCCGTAGACTGTGGGGCCACAGTCTCAGTGCATTGATCGTGCAGGGACGGTTTCCATATTGGTTCAGCAATGAATTGCAATGCAGCTCCTGGTTGAAAACTCAGAGCAACAACAGGCAACTATTGGCTTGTGAGATTGAATCAGTGTTTCGCACAATATAAGGAACGATCCTGCGATCGATTGGGACGAGCAGCTGCAATTTTCCCGAAGGAGTCTCAGATCAGAGTTGGCGACATGGAGTTTTTGTGTTGGCATCCATTAAATTCTAGATTCTAGATGTTTATATTTTCTAATCTAGACAGGAAAAAGACCAATGTTTCTATTTTTTTCTTTCTCCAGAAACGATCTTGGTGGACTCAGCTGAATTTTGTCGTTTGGTAGGACTCTTTGTTGCGAGCTCGGCTTGGAGGAGGCCCACTTGGCCGCCAGGCCGGCACAGTCGGCCAGTCCGCAGTCGCAGCAGTCGTCGAAGCGTCCCAGGCCCAAAGGATCAAGCCTGAGCTTTCGAATGGCTGCCAAAGGAGTAATTGCAGCACACTCTTTCAGGCATTTGTGGAACATTCATGCACATTCATGGAACATTGCCTGAACACTGGAATTGTTTGGAAATCATGGGGCAGGCAGATGACTCTCAATCATCGTCGCAGCTATTCCAAGGACAAGGCTGCACTGTATGGCAAAGATGCATTTGGGAAGGGGGCGTCGTGCATTTCCCAGGCAGTCTCTCTGAGAACCATCGAGCAAATCGATCTTGACATGTGCTAGCCTTACTGGCAAGAACTTTGCCTTATTCAGCCTTCCTAAGAGTGAAAGCAGGTGTGTTCAAAGGCCTTGCAAAGTCAGGCCTCTGACTTGAACCCCAGGATTCGTCAAGTGTTTGTCGTTTTGCATGGCTTTGACCCATCCTCAAATCTTTGAAATTGCCAAGACCTCGCACTGCCTGCGGAGATGCTGAGCTTGAATCCTGTCTTGGCATTGCTCGAGCTTTGCTTCTGAGGCCCTTGACTATAGAGGCTGTACTGCATGTATAGGTCATAGGCTGAGTCATAGGTAAATGAAACCGAGAGACTACAGTACAGTAAGAGGACTCCATTCATGTTCTGGAATAGGCAGCGCATGGGAATTCGCTGCTGGGGTTTCGATCTGGAAGTCCAATTGCCTGACAGGCAAGCCGCCGAGGACATGGGGTGGTTCGGGGATTCGACTTGTGTATCGTTCCCAGAGAGTTTCTTAAGAGATGCAAGGACCCTGAGCTTGGATATTGCCAAGGAATGAATATGGTTGCCAATTGCTCAGTTCGTCAAACACATCCGAGGTCCTTTGAGTTTTAGGGTGCCTGGTGGGGACCGGTGGGGACTGGGGGGCCGCTCAAGGCTGTGCTGTTTGCAGTTGCCTCACAAACTCAAGCAGAGGCCGATCAGATCTGCATCCCTGTACATATTTTTGTGCGTCATTTGCTCCGTTGTTTCGCCAGGCATTCTTCCGGTTTCATGCCTTCATTCAAAGTCTTCGTGGTCTTTGGGAAGAAGGCGCCTGGGCCTCTTCAATTGAGAGCCTGGGCTTTGCTTTGCTTCCGCTAGGCTTTCCGTTGCTTCAGCAAGGGATTTGCACTTTCGAGACATTGGCAACAGATCGGCCCTGGTTTCAACATTTGAAAAGGAGCTTTTGGAAACAGTGCAACGCTTCAGAATGGACAGTTTGCGGAGATTTGTGGCTTTTGCAAGAGTCTTATCACCATAAGTAGCATTGCCGCACTTGCAACTCAGCTTGCAGGAACGGGGTTGAGCCGGAGATGTATCTGCCGGGCGCATGGCTGGGTCTCTTCAGCTGTTGGCTGCCACTAGCCACGAGGGTCGGAGAATGATACTGATGTCATGTGGGTGTCGAGTCACACGCCAACAAGATGGTATCAAAGCCTTGGTTGAATCAGTAAAGGAAGATGATACTTGGACACACCAGGGCAGAATTTGCTTGAGTGATAACAACGCCCGAAATCCACCACTTGTTGCCGCTAGAGGATTTTGGCTTCCCTGAAAGGTTCTGCTGCTCAGAAGTCTTGAGGAGGGCCACCTTGAATCGATGCTGGCTCTTAGCCTCGCTATCCTTGACCACATCGGGTGCGGGCCTTTGAAGAGCTGAGTGCGCCTATTTTAGAGCTACGGAGAAGCTGTGGAATATCACCCTGAAGAGAGTTGGATGATAGGGTGCTTTGGACTCTGTTCTGAAAACACAAGGGTTGAGGTTGAGCTTGAGGATGGCTCAGTTGCTGGGATGTGAGCACTGCACGGAGCTTGCCAGGAGTTTGCTCTTGGAGCAAGGAGACGATATGGATGACTTGCTCGAACTGTTGCATAGCATCAAGGAGAAACCGTAGCTTGTCCGGAACTGATGTCAACAAGTAGCGCTGGGAGCCGTTGGCGGTTACAAGTCGGTCTATAGATCGACAATGAATGGTGGATCTACCTGAGTCTTGCAACTATATGTAAGATTTTGTAAACATGATCGAGGATCCTTTATACAGGCACTATTTTGGGGCGCAATTTCGGACAGCCCGGACTATTGGTGGTGCTTGTGGTTGTGTTTTGTGGTTGTCTATGTGGCTTTGTTTGCGGTTTTGTTTGCGGTTGTGTGTGGGGTTGTGTTTGTGGTTGCCTTTGTGGTTGTGTATGCAGTGTGCTTGCTGTTGAGGTCTGGTGGTGCCCACTGCGATGAAGTCCGGTAGTGCTCGCTGCGATGTGGAGTTTGCTGTTGAGGTCCGGAGTGCCCACTGCGATCTGGCATCTGGCGCTTGCTGTTCGCCGAAGCCAATCACTGCGCGACAAGATTAAGGAGAAGTCACCTTGTTGTGGTGCTATGGATGTGAACAAGCGTAGGCAAAAAGCCCTACGCACAGTGGGGAGAAGCTCTCACAGGCTGATGCGTTACGGCGCCCTGTAGAAAGTTGATCTCAGGGAATCTGGGCTGGCACGTTCGGCGTCTCGGCGTGGAGACGAGGAAGAAGGTTTACGGCTTACTATGGTTTACTTAAGACAGTGACCGACTGGGAAAGGAGTGCTTCATGACCAACATGCAGATGCACGACGAATCTTCGGAAAAAAGAGGACAGCTCTGAAATCGAAATTCCACAGTGTCGTATGTAAAGCCGACAAAGCATGGCGCCAACGAACGCATTTTTTCGCGCAAAAATTAACCACGTAAAGTGCATACAAAAGTAGACTGGTACATGTCGTACTACTGTTTTAAGTAAGCCCTCTATATGTATATATATATATATATACAGCCTTTCTGCGAGCGAAAACGTTTGGTGAGCTAAATCGTTGCTGTTTCGTAAGGCTCCGTCTTCGAAGCGTGAAACGAGGCCACACCCTGCCGCTTTGCTCACCGCTCGGGATGCGTGGTTCCCGAAGGTATCTGCGACCAAAGCGAGGAGGCCGATGGCAAAGAAGACCTGATGGAACTGGTTCCGGTGGTGTTGGTCGAAAGACCAAAAGAATCGATAAGGAAACCACTTCATGTCGGGCCTTTTTGGATGTAACGGGATGAAATGGGTTGACACATCTACATATACCCCTGCAGGCTCGAAGGATGATCACGTTTTGCGTGCACCTGTTGCACTGGCGCTGTTTTTTCTTCAGGTCTAGCTTCTGGAAGATGCGTTTTCGCCGTGAAGGCTCTGATGTACTTGATCATCAAGGGCAGGCCATGTGCTTTCCTTTATCAAACAGTCCCTCAAATACTAAATAATAACAATAATATTGATATTTTTTCTTTTTGTTCCTCCCTGTCTCTCTCTCTCTCTCTGTCGTATTAAAGTTTTTGTTGACATGGCAATACATTCCATCGCTTGGGAAGGCTGTATTTGCAAAGCGACCAAGCCTAGCAGGAGCAGGCCGGCGAGCTTGGGAAACAACAACTCACGTTGGGCATTCATATTTTTTCTGGCTGCAGAGCAAGACCCGTGAATGGACCGAACTCTGCCAATTGGGCCAATTGCATTGCTGGGAAACAACAGGTATTTTTCCTGTCAGTATTGGATCAAAAAGAGGTCGAATGCCCTCTGGACATCCAACTATAGACCATGGGCACAAACCAGCGGAAAAAGTCACTGTTTCACTGTGCCTGGCAGCGAAGCAATTGCACCGTTTACCCAAGTCTGCTGCTGAGGCAGAGCCTTACTGAAGTTCTGCTTCAAAGACTTGGGCAGACATTGTTCATTCCGCAACCCTGCAGCCGGTCACTGACTGACCCGCACGATCATTTCACCAAGTTATATAGTTCTTTATTTTCTGTGTAATGAGAGCCGTCTAGAGCCTGTCTCGAGAATACTCGTTGGACAGCTCAACACTGCAAACTCTTTCTGGTGTGGAGACTGTTCCACCACCGCCCACGGGCTAGATGACAAAATGTCAACCAGCCAGGCAGGCGCTGCAAAGCTGAATACAAATTCCAGCTTGAACGTGTTAGCGTTGTTGTACTTCGATGCTGCTAGAAAATTGGTTACCTTTGTGCGCTGGCTTGTGCTAGTGATTCCATCCAATCTTGTGCTAGTGATTCCAATCTTTAGGCTTTTTCGCCCGAACCAAAATGGTTTCACAGGTTCCACAGGGATGGCCTGACTCCAGAGTCAGTGCCTTTGGTCCGCGAGATCCAGGCCAAATCCGGGTGGTCTGGTGCTCGGCTGAGCAGGCATTCCATCAAATAAGTGTAGTATGCATACGATGACAGTGTGTAAAAGCTCAAAAACCATCGGGAGGTCAGCTTTGCAGATTTTGCTGCTTTTTGTAATTACAACATAGTGAGGTTTTGGAGCAGAATTGTACCGCACGAGGTTAGCTTCAATATTCTTGCTGTCCCATACGCAAGAACGCAGCTGGCCACACAGATCATGTGCCCAGCAAAAATCAAAGGCTTGTCATAGTTAGACGCGGCTTTTGATCATTTTGGACCATTGACATGTTTCTTTCTTTCTTTGTACGCCTTGGTTGTGCGCCAGGTATCCATATTGCCCCTCCCAAGTCCTTGATTATGCATATCGACAACCTCTGATAGGTGCGGACCGCATCTCGACGTCCGAGTCTGGTGTCGACCATCGTTCGAGGTCGAGAAGTCCACCGGTTGGATGGTGACATCGTGCTCTTGCAGGAGAACGGTTTGGTGGGACGGTTGGACCAGGGCCGGCAAGCCGTGTGCCATGCTGCACCAGGTAGAAGTGGGACCACAGTTTTGAGATTTCTGACAGGAATGCACGTACTTCACCTACCTGAAATTCTTTCAGCCACTCTTTGGTGAACTGTGCGCCATGTCTTTGCCAGCTTTATACACATCATTTTCTTGCACATTTGCAAGCGTTTGTGAGGTACCACATCCGCTGTTCATTGAAAGCGAGCCATGTTTCTGAGGGATGCCTCATGATGGTGCGGAAGGAGTCTTTTGAGGCCATCTGAACAGAGTCACAGCATCTCTGAGCGATGCGAGGGAGGGCTTTGCTGATGCTTTTCCTAGGGCTCTTGATGCTTTGCTTTCCATGACTGAAAGTTCAGCCCTTTCACGAGCGTGAAGCTTCAAGTCCAGTCCTTGGTGTGACACAGTACTTCATGGTCCTTCGAGTGCAGACATGAGTTGCAACATGTTGCAACTCTATACAGCCCTGTTTTGGTTTCAAGTCACGCAACATGACATCACATGCACATGCATCCCAGACATGTCCCGTATATACGTTATGATACTTATTGTATAGCGCACTATTTCTCTCCGCCGATCCAGTCCATCGGACCATGCGAAATGGGGTGGTGGCCATGGCTCTTTCTTGTTGCAGCGACAGCTGAACTGGATTTCTCCTGTAGGGAAGATGAGGTGCAAATCTGGGAGTCCGTCCGCCTGCAGCTGCGGGACTTGCTCCCCCGCTATTCGGGCCGGCTGAGTTTCGACCCTTGCCAGCGCGTATCCCCCCCGGAAAGGACACACATAAACTAAAACCCATGGGGCTCGGGGCTGGGGGGCCTGCCTATTTGCATACGACAAATCTGAACTAATGCTATGTGAAGACTTTACATGCCTAGTTTTCACTGCATAAATTTGTCAGGACACCAGTGGGACAGGCTGCTCACGACAAGTGGGTTAGGTGAGTGTAGTAAGCCCTGCAAAAAGCTTTTGTGCGGCCTTCAGTTGATAGCCAGGTTCATATCGCATCAGATCTCGAGTCGGTGGACAGCATACACAAGGATGTGGTTGAAAAGCTGGAGTTTTCAAGTGCTCTACTTCAACCACAGGCACATGTAGAGAAAGTCTGGGATTCCTCCTGCGATCGAATCTATCACATCACGTCAGTACAAAGATAAAAGAAGGGCTATCTAGTGATGTGCAGTTCTCCCTAGTTTCCATTTCTCCTGTGTTTGATGTGGCCGCAAACAGATGACTGGTGTTGGAAAGAACTTTGGACTGCGACCTGCAGGTACCTTTGCCTTGGAGGGAAGGCCACGCATGGAGCTTTTGTTTATCTGGCCTGCTCAGTGCCAAGCTTCTTTTTGTGATGCACCTTGGCAGAGATTCTGTCCTGAAAAACGCACTGAAGGCACTTCTGTCCTACCCGTGCAGAAGGCTTTTTCTCTTTCTTGTTTTCTGGACAGGTAGGATGAGCAACACAAACGGATGCAGATGCAATTGTTTTCTTCCCACTCATCCAGCCATGTTCAAACTGCCTCTCAGTCTGCCCCAATCACGCAACCAAGGCTAGCCATCACCGTCGAATCACGTTTTGCTGTCGATGCGAGCGCAGCTCTTGCTGCTTCCGCCCTGACAGTGCCCTGGGCGGAGATCCTGCACAGCGGTTGGCCAGTTTTTCAGTTATTTGGCATCCTATCCCGATGGGCTTCTCCTTACTTGGATTTTGAGGGGGGCCAATGTGTCTGGTCTTCACGGTCGTTCGATCTTCCACTCAGTAAAGAAGTTGGAGTCTGCATGTGACAAAGCGGAGTCTGGAGCAATGCGGCATGCCAGAGAGCTTCTGGGGGCTCATTGGCGCCAGTTAGATCCCCACGTCTCAGTTGGTGAGTTGGATCACATCGAAGAATCCTTAGCTGAACTGCGGGGGAGCTCCCGCAAGGATGAAGCAGCTGCCTACCACTGCTATTGGACAAAGCATCCAAACCGTAGCTTGGGAGGCCTTGCTATTGGAGACATTCCAGAAGAGCCTTTTAATGCTTGTGCTGCTCACCAGGTTTGTGCCGGCATCTCTTCTAAAATGCTTCACCAACTTCAACATGGAGATCCACTTCTAACGGAGTCTGGTGAAGTCTCGCATGTGCGATGGTGCACGCCTCTCATCAAGCTGCACGACAAGTCATTGCTTTGCCCCTTTGCACGGGCAGTGGGCCTGCTTGCCACTGCCTTCCGTTTGTTGGGCAACTCGACACGGATAACTATGAGACCACCTGGCAACCATGCGCCCATCGAATCCCCATTTCCATTGGGATTGCAGGTAGTTTGAGGGTATTTTGATATATTTTGATGTAGTTTGAGGGTATTTCCAGGTATTTTCGTCCATCAGTCTTATGTGTGCAGTCGTGATCGACAGCTGTCCAGGAAACAGCAGCACAACGCACAGCTATGCTCCAGAACTCGTGAAGCAGGCCAACATGGAGGCCTGTCGAAGCCTGGGAATGATGGATGTCATCCCGAGCGTTCTCGTTCGGTGGGGGAAATGGTCAATCATGCAGCGCACTCGAGATCACTCTAGACTCTAGCCTTTCGCAGCTTTTGCAGTTCACTGTAGCCCAGGATCCTTTCGTAACTCTTTGCACCAGTACTGCAGCGCACAGCACGCGATGCAAGGTGGCGGCATTTGCTTCTGGTGATGGGGCAGGTAGGGAGGCAGGTGGTTTTTAGATGTTTTTGGTCCTTCCCGTTGTCTTTTCATTCTAAGTCAGTGGAATGGACCTGAAACTTTCCAATGCCAAGACATTGCTGACCTCAGGCATGGGCATCTCAGTGGCCCTTGTGGCAGGCGCAAGACCGTCGTCATTGGCTGGTTCAAGCAAAGTGCTTTGCAGTCATGGCATGTCATGGCACTTTTCAGCAAGGAACAAACCGCTGAAAGAACTTGTTTGTTTGTTTGTTTTTTCAACCACCTACATTTTGTCTTTTAGGTGCTTGCACGACTTCAACTACGTCTGGACCGTGCCCCGCGTGTGGCACATTGCGGATGGCTGAAGATGTCCGACGAACCAGTTCTATTCACATCTTTTATAATTTTTTCCATACTTTGCCTGTTTTCCTGTTGCCTTAGGTCTACAATGCCTTACTTTAACGGAAGGTATTTAAATGACTTTAAAGTATGTTAGATTTTAAGTGTATTTAACTAAGGCCTTAGGTCTTAGGTCCTCGATCTGATTTGTACTTCCAGAATTCACAGGTGCATGTTTGTTCTTGAGCCTTCGGACGTCGGGTTTGCTTTTCAATGTTCTTTCATGACTTGGCCAGCGAGACTGCTCCAACCGAAGATGACACCTCCAGTGCAACGCATGGCCACCAATCTGAAGTGTCTAGACGCCAGGTAGAGGACGCTACTAGGAGCAAAGGGCATCGCTACTAGGAGCAAGGACGCTACTAGGGGCTCCTGGCCTTACTACTAGGAACAGAGAAGCTACTAGGAGCTCCAGGAAACGACATGATCCGACAGGACCTTGTGTCGGATCCGGTGGCTGGATCGCCAGGCGTTCGGGTCAAGACCGTAGTGTTTGGTGGGTCAAACGGCTGTCTGCAAAAAAAAAAAACATGTCAATCCGATCCTGTTTTCTTTCGACACGGATGGATTTCCATGGATTTGCTGTTGGCTTTACAACATTCAGATCCTCCGGACTCTACTAGGGTGGAGGCCATCGCTACTAGGGTGGAGGCCATCGCTACTATTCAGATCCTCCAGACTCTGAATGTTTGAACTCTTGTGCATGCTATTTGAAGGCGCAACTGTGCTGCCAAGATTGCAGAAGGCCGTTGGCTTTGACGACGAGGCAGCGCTTGCTGATGTTAATTTGGCCAATGAATAGTACGTGAGCTATCCTGCGTCCTAAGTAAAACGAGTAATTTCTTACATCTTTTTAACATGCGACGTAGACAATTCAGACGATGCCAACATGATGCCTCCATTTCAGACCGATTGAATTCGTTTTTCATCAATCAGACATGTTATGTTAAGTTATATCAATATCAGTGTTGCCAGGCTTGGCGCTTGCTTCTGAATGAGCTCAATGCAGTATCTAGTGAAGCCTCAAGCTCATCAAACGCTCTTAGGTTCATTTCTGCAGCATCTGCTTCACGAGCAGGGAAGAGTTGGTTCTTCGCTGAGGCCAGTGTACCTCTACCTTTGCGGGAGCGTGTGCGCTGCACCTCTGGGTGAGCTCCTGACTGACATGTTTTGCGGGTCATTGGTGACACCAGAAACATGCAATAGCGGGGTCATAGCTATTGGATGGAGATAATTTTAATTCCCTACTTGGCACTCGTCCCAGCTTAGTCATTCGTCCAGTGGCTCTCGCCAAGGAGCAGTTGTGTCGCAGAGTTCTTTGGCAGGCACGGGCTGACCATGCAAAATGCTCCGGGGGAACATTTTGGTAGAGTTGTTGAAATTGAAATACTTGGGACCTTGCAGGGCCCTTAGCCTTAACCGGATATCCGCACCTTTTGCATGTTTTCATATGTTTTCCATTTACCACCTTACAGCCTCAGAATCAGGGACCCGAGTTACCTTTACTTGTACAACTAAATGCACATCCAGTGTCTAGGGAACCACTTGCAGGTTGCACGGGATGCTCTTTTCATCTGAAAAGCTTCCTTTGCGCGACCAGATCTTCACCTTCAACCAGGAAGTGACCGCCTGTTGCTTCTCGCTGTCAGTTCCCAGGATTCCAGCATGGCGATGGCCTCCAACCTAAGAGCCATGGACTCTAATAGCGAGCATGTCAACAAACGTAACGCCGGCCCAAATCACTCCCATTTGCAGGATGCGATTTTGCCGGAGCTCATGCTCCGCAGCAAGCGAATGGACTTCAGACTGGCACTTAGCAAAGCGGGCTCTTCAGACTTCGATGTCTGCGGGTTCGTCGGCCCACAGAAGCGAAATGTCTTGGATGGCCCACATTGGCTTTCAAAACCCAAAGTCGGAAACAAGTTGGCACTTGGATGAGAGTGAGTCCAGAAGTCTTGCCTTCCAAGATGATGAAAAAGAGCTGGAATACGACTGGAAAGGAATGGTGCAGGCGCATTGATACTCACCTGTCAGCGTAAAGTGTCAGCTTTGCACCCTTCAAATCATGCATATTTGGCAGGAAATCAAGGCGAGGATGGAAACAGGCCAGCCTTAGGGCCTTAGGCCCCTTTTGTGCTGCGCACAAGACGGCCAAAACACTGCTAGGAGACGAAACAGAGGGAGCTTCACTTGTCACATTTCGTTTCGGAAGGTATGCTTCAAAGCTTCGTCAAAACCAAGTAAGGGTGGATTGCAGGGCAGTGGAGGGTAGATGCACACTTCACACTCGTACATGATGGAACATATCCGCAAATTATATGCAACTAAATTGGTTCAATGTGGCCCATGAGCCACCAACCGCCTCCTTTTCGATGTGCCTTCCATGACGTTGTCTCGTTTGGATATGGTCCACCCTTTCGCAAGTTCTGGTGATTATTTTTGTTGCAACCTGGCTTGAGTGCTGGCAAACTTCTTGGCCAACCACAGAAAGAACAGAAAGCGCTGAGTTTTGGATGTGTGGAGGCGGTTTAGCTGTGCAGATTCTGCAGGTGAAGAGATAAGCTATGAGGAGGAGATCCAAAGCCTGGTGCCAAAGGAGCATCCGTTGCAGGCTCTTTGATGTCCAGAAGCTACCGCAGCCTGGTGGCTTCGCAGTGATCAAGTGTTGGATCTGAATGGAAGTGCCAATGGCAAGGATTGGTGGAGTGTTGTGAATGGAACGATGTGATGTTTCACATGATAAAGACGTTAAAAAGTATGGACCCTTTTCCGAAGGTGGACCGACTGCAGCTGGCCCACTTCATCTTGGAGGTGCTTCGATGCAAACGAGAACACAGGGTGTTCAGACAAGTTCAGGCTGACCTGTGTGCTGAAACGATTGAAGTTCAGGAACATGTGGTGACATATGGTCACATGCAAAGGTTGACACAGGACACTCATAGCAAAGCAGAGCACGAACCTCATCTCCGAGCCGAGCTGGCCAGGTGAGGGATCTGATTGTTGCCGAAGGGCCTTTGCGGCGTTGCCTGGATGGGATCTCAGGGAGTCCAGGAAGGAGTCATCCCATGCTTGAAATCTGAGGCATATGGCGGCATATGGCGCATATATCGGGTAGTACACAACTAGACCCCAAGGAAGAATGAACAAAGCCCAGAGGCTGGCGCGGCTACCCTTTCTGACACAGACACAGATGGTGTGTCCTGTGTCCATGTCTCAGGAATGGGATCAACCCTTTCTACTGGTTCGTGCCTTCACTGCTGGGGGCTGAACAGACAGACGAGAATGTGGAAGTTTTATGAATGATGAATAAAGTTACCACTATCAGATGTAATGATATATGAATAGCCAATCAGTTTACTCAGTGCAAGATGGTGAAGCACTTTGTGCCTTAACAACGTTGTCTGGAAACTCCCTCATCAGGGCCTGTGCCGGTTCATCGACATCTACTCCTACTCAGAGTTGCGGCCTTGGAATTCCAGTCAGGCGACCCTTCACCGGCGACACGTGTTTAAAGCGCTGACTGGGCATTGATTTTTTGAGACATGAGACATGCAGATCAATGCTCTGACATCACAAATCAACACCAAACGGATAGCCGGTGGGGAATGTTGACAATCTATATAATGTGTTTGTCTGTGGCATGTCCCACAGCTTTTCAAAAGAATAACATCTTTTTTCCAGCACACAGCTCTTTCTAGCGATGGCCTCCAACCTCATAGCGATGGCCTTCAACCAAAAAGATAGCGATGGCCTCCAACCTAAATAATAGCAATGACCTCCAACCTAATAGCGATGGCCTCCAACCTGTATAATAGCGATGGCCTCTGTGAAAGGAAGGGAGGATTGGCCGCATCGGTCTCCAACCTATATAACAGCAGTTCTCCTTTCGTTTGACTACATCGGCACACTTTTGTGCACATTGGGCCGGTGAGGCCTAACCCCAGTGAGCCCAGAATGGGGTTGCTGGGTGGCCCAGAATCTGCGTGTGTGAGGCATTGTTTCTCACATTGCTTCTCTGTAGAAAGAAGTCTGCCAGAATAACCTGACACAATCGGTGATTGCATCGACCAACGGCTCCAACGGCTGCTCCCTTTTTGTTGTCGCGAGGCCTGGACGGAACGAGTACAAGTCTGGCACGATCCACTACTGGGGGGACATGGAGAGACCTGAGAACTTCAGCGCCTTGTTTGCTTTAACGCGCCTTCACTCTGAAAGGCGTGAACATGTGCTCATGTGTGCTGAGATGCATTAAGATTGTGGTGAAACAGTCCTCGGAAAGGAGCCAGCGACAGTTTATAGTCTAAGTTATATTTCTTTGTATTTGGTTTCGCACATCGACGACCACCGGATGAAAGTCGCACCGTCAGAATGCTTGGGCCCAGAAAGAATCCCAAACAAATGAACACAAAAGCAAGCCAAATGTAGGTTTCAAGAATCTAACAGTCTGAGATCTTAGCCCAGAAGTATGATAGAGCTTCAGGGTGGATCAGCATTGAACAGAGCACCAAAGTGATACTCCAATACCCCAACGTCCAGCGTTTTGCAGAGATAGACCAACAATCTACAGCTTGCCTTGCTTCCCCCATGTCGCGGTCACAGGCGCAGTCACGTGGGGGCCCGACCCTTGCTGGTACTGTGACAGTGTTGAAGGGTTCTCATGGCTTTATTCAATCTGACGCTGGTGATCAGTATTTTCTTCTTCCTTCTGTTTGTCATGACTGGAATGGAGAATTGCCACGAGAAGGAACTCGGGTGAACTTCACGGCTGAAACAGAAGCAGCCTGGGGCAAGAATCCAAAGGCCTTGCATGTGTGGCATGAGCGGGGGGATGCAAGCACACACCCAAACAAGCAACAGGGGGGCTACGCGGAAAAGTGGCAAAGCGAGAAAAGAAAGCACGAGGGAAACTGGAATGGAAGAGATGACCGCTGGAGCTCTTATGCAAAAAGTAAATGGGGATCCTACGATGGCGCAGGATTCCATGAAACAATACACGAAGGAGCAAAGTTCACCGGGACCATGGCTAGTGACTTGGGGAATTACGGTTTCATCAACCAGGATACAGATGATGGTGAGGAATGCCGTGTTTTCGTCTTGCCATATTCTTGTCCAGATGGAATGCTCCCACTGGAGGGAAGCCGGGTTGAATTTACCATTGTGAGAGATCCAAAGACCAACAAGCCGAGAGCAGAAGATGTTGTCTTTGAGGGACAGGGTGATCCAGAGCAGCCGGTGACGGATGAATTTGTGGAGGAGGCAGATGCTTGTCCGGAAGACCTGGTCTTTGAAAGAGGAGATGATCCGAAGGCGGCCGAAAGTGCTGAGGACTCAGGTCCTGCGCTTGGTGAAGTCTGCACCGGCATCATCTCTAAGGCCAGAAGAAACTTTGGTTTTGTCATGCCTGACGAGGGATCAGGGGGAAACATGTTCATCCTGCCGTCTCAATGCATTGGCTTCAACTCATTTGTGCCGCCAGTTGGCACTCGAGTGCAGTTTACTGTCGGCTGGTCTCGTCAGCATGAGAAGAAGATGGCCACTGATGTGGTACCCTTAGATGACCATGAGGACAATGAGGTCTTCAAAGGTGTGGTGGCGACAAACTACGGAAATTATGGCTTCATCAAGGACGAAGAGGGAGAGCAGATTTTTGTCCTACCGGCCTATTGCAGTGGATGGGGGATCTTTGATGTGGGCACCTCCGTGGTCTTCCGAAAAGTGGAAAGCAAGAAGACTGGCAAGCCGATGGCCCAGGATGTGGAGGTGGATCCCGACCCTCCGGTTCGACCGATTCCACCTACAAGGCCTCCAGAGTCCATGCAAGACGTGGAAGGGGTGCTGGTGAGTCACAAAGGGCAATTTGGCTTTGTGAGAACGAAGGATGAAGAGGAGTTCTTTATCCATCACTCTGACTGTCCTGGTGAATGGTTGCCAGCGGTTGGGACAAGACTTCGCTTTGACAAGTGTCTTGGTGGGAAGAGACCTGCGTGCAAGAACGTCTCTATTCTTGCAGAGCGCTCCAAGCCCTCTAAGACCGAGACATCCAGGGAAGACAAGGAGCGCGTCAAAAGCCCTCCTCCCAAGACCATCAACACACCTCCGCCAGCACCACCGCTCCCGCGCAGACCTAGAACATTCAAGTCAGAAGAAACCGCCAAACTTTGGCAAAGATACTGTGAGGAGTATGGGCATGGTGTGTGTGATCCAGAAGAGCATCCAGCTGCCTTCCTGAGGCAATTCATCCGTGCAGTCTTGCCTGATGATGTTGCTGAACCGGCTTCCAAGCGGCAAAGGACCTAAGCCGGGATGGTGAAAAGAAGCGATAGATCCAAGGGACCGAAGCGGCTTTCAGCTTTCAGATGTTCACCATTTTCCACCCTAAGCTAACTGGACATGCCATGGCAGCCAAAGGACCTTCGCTCACTGTAACACATGCGGAATGCGCAGCGGCGCTCTTCCACCTCCATCTCAGGTGTGGATGCGGGATCGATGGACCTCATTCTTTGCCCCTTCATTTTTGAGCATGTTGCGCGACCATGGAAGGCTATCAGGACACTTCTGCACATGGACATGAGTCGTGGAACAGACTTTTGGAACACAACAGGAGAACACCTTGACTCCTTTTCTTGAGAACTGAAGGATGCAGCCATTTTACAACAAAGTACAAAAACACATGACAAGGCCTACATTTACCATCATTAACCATGAAGGCCTGGTTGATACTTGCAGCATGTGAGCACGATGCCTAGGGTGAAAAAAACACTGCGGAGAACACACAGGATCAATTGGGAAAATAGGTGAAGGATCGGATGAGATGCAGATGCCCCCCCACTTTTAGGACGTTGGCTGGTGCTTTGCGTCCAGGTGGCTTTGTTGTTTGGGCGGCTGGGAACCTTGGAGATTTAGAGATTTGATCAGATATCTACACAAAAGGTCTTTTTTACTTTTGCCAATACAAGCATGACATATAAATAATTACCCCTTTGCACTTTTATATAAATAAAGCAAGGACCATCTAACTAAACCATTGTCATCATAGGCGTGCTTCTGGCTATCCAAGCCTGGTGTCATCGCCTTGCATTGCCAAGGCTCCAATGTTTCAGCGCTACCACGGGCATCGAACTGAGCCAAGGATCATTGTGTTTTTGATGTTGGAAGAGGAAGATATTGTTTGTCACTAGACCACAAGCAGTTGCACGTGGAAATTTCAAGGTACATCACATGGTTTGTGGTGCAGTAGAATTGACAACAAGCATTTGCTTTGCTTCGCAAGGTCTCCACATGACTACTACCGCTACACCCCAAATGGGGTCAAAGCATTGGCGGACGAAGCGGGCTTAGAGGCGGACCCAGCGGGAGAGGAGAACCGGAGCAATGGCCTCCAACGCGATGGCCTGCAACCCAATAGCAATGGCCTCCAACTCAATAGCAATGATCTCCAACCCATTAGCAATGGCCTGCAACCTAATAGTGATGGCTTGAGTTCCATGTCTTTGCATATCTCCGGAGATCACCAATTGCAAGGGAACGCCTTCATGCAAAGTGGCCATTGAGTGGCTTCACTGAGTGTACAGTCGTTCAATGTCGTTCAGGTCAGTCGTACTGGTTCAATGTCGTTCAGCTGGTTTCAGGTGATCAAGCTGTATTCACCTGGAGATCTCTCATTGGTGAATGGAGCATCTTAGTTTGAGATTAAACCAGACAGCATAGATTGGGAAGGGCGACAAAAAACATCAGAAACTACAATTGAACTATATAGAATGCTCTAGCCCCAACTATCTACTTATGTGGATTATATATATATATGATGATTATGTGATTATGTGGATTTGGAGCAACAGAATGGCCTTAACAGAAACATGAGACAGCCGACGAGGCTTCAAGTTATTCACGCTAACCTGTTCTTTGACTTGAAGGATATATATATATACATAGATATTGATTTGTAGTAATATTACATATGGTTCTTGTTATGGCTTTGTGTGTCTCGTGGCTTTGAGGTATTAATGGGAATGCTGATGCCCTACTGGTCAATGGAGCATGTCCTTCGCGAGGCTGAGTTGATGGAGAAGGACAACGCCCCCAGGTCGGGACAGATCCTTCGGACCAGAAGGAAAGAAACAGAAAAGCAAAGAAGAACTCAGAACAACCTAATAGCGATGGCCTCCAGAAGCGAGGGAAAGATCCTTCGGAATCCTTCGGAATCCTTCGGATCGAGTTCCGCGGGACCCGGGGCCGTTGAAATGCCACTCGAGGGTTGAACGGAGCGGTTGGTGCGTGGGCGGGCCACCTCGTGACACTTGCAGTTTTGAGGCCTTTTGCCGCACTCCCACCTCAGACAAGAATTGATTCTGTATTGCCACATGTCACGTGCTGCAAGTTTCATTATCCATGCCATCCCTTTGCTTTTCCTAGCAGAAACATGCATGTACAGACACCAGTGTCTCTGATGGCCAGGCATCCTTTGAACGTCTTCGCTCTCCTGCGAAAGCCGGGAAGCTCGACGCGACACGCACGCGATGCGAAGCGTGACGCTGGCGTTTTGTTGTTATTGGACGTCGTCCTAGATCATTGACGGTAATTGTACAATCAGCTTTGCTGAAAGCAGATTGCAGTGAGGCCTGGATCTCGGCCAGATATTTGGTGAATCTGACTGAGAGTTAACGACTCTGTGCCCGGAATGCAGTTGGGTGCATTCAACATGTTTTTGGGCAGTGTACATGTAGTTGTGTGCCGAAAGATGCGAGAAAACTGCGGTGCGCAGATATGCCGAATGCAGATGGTGTCTCTAGCTCGATCCGACTCGCCTTTTTGCAAGCTTTCATCGCCAGATCCTTGAAGAGAAGGACTTCCTATTCAGGACAGACCGTGAGAAAATGACGCATCCCATGAAGAACCGCACGGTTAAGTTAAAGCCCTTCAATGGGCCAAGTGCAATGTGTGCTCCAATGGCCCTGAATGCGACAGCTTTCAGAGACCTCCCAGGAACCTCTTCCGCACCAATCAGGCCTATCGGCCCCAGCTCCAAGAGGCGGGCCGCTGTGCTTGCGCTTGGATGACCGGTGATGAGACCGACCGACCTCGTGTGATGAGGTTTGTGCCAAGTGGCCTGATTTCTTAGAAGGCATCTTGCCCTGGCCTTGGCACAGCCGAGAAGTATGTTTTTTTCGGTCTTGGTGGCTGTGCCTTGGCCCTGAGATGCTGGTCTTGAGATGCAAAGATGCAGGTTTCGCCCGCTGAGGCCACGGATGTCGACCATTTTTCAGATGAGCGTCTTGAGGCAGCGGGGGGCGTCCGACAGTGGGTCGCCTGCATCTGTCATTCTGTGGTTCACAGGCACAAGGACTCCGGAAAAGTTCTTGTTGTGGCAAATACGCTCCAATCTCAGTTGAATAGGGAGAGAAACCACGTATCCAGAGATTTGTTTTGTTCTGCCGTCCCAAGCCTGCTCTTGTCTTGTGAGGCATTTATTCTACCACCCCAATGCCAGGCAAGCAGCAAACAGCCGCTACCAGGCAATTCCCTCGCGCAACAAGTATCTCACTTAAGGCACATCCGCCTCCTCCAAGTCATGTGCCTCCTGGGACAGGTGCTCTCCGCTGGACTTATGTCATGTCATGTCTTTGATTTGAACAACTTCTGCTATGAAACAACATTCAGGCTGCAAATGGCAACATGTGGAATATTGCCCATTCATGCTCATTCAGGTTGCAAATCAAGATTCACATCAGGTCAATTGAGCGAGTCTTGCACTCCTTGTTGCTTGCCAGTGCAACGATTGGTTCAAACAAACACTCTGACACTTGTATTCAGTTAACTCAGTTCCCCGAGGAAAGGAATGGCTCAACGGTAAGATGATGAGTCCGATCATTTGAAGATGTTTGAACAAATAGTTTCCGCACATCTGCAAGTCACGAGAAACAGCGGTGTCGAGCAATCAGCGCGGCTGCACATCTGCTGTGGGAAAAGAGTTTGGGGGAAAGGATCATGAAGAACCATGGAAACAAACCAAGCAGATTAGACAGCGTGGTCAAAGGTTTCGGTTGCAGGTACACAGGGATGATCAGTCCCTGCATCCTGGTCATCTGCATAGAGCTTCGTTGGCGACAGCTATGCAGTGACCCTGTCGCCCCCTGCCGAAGTCGGTTGAGAACCCTTTGTCCAGGGGTGGACACACACACAAATCGCCGGCTTCGGCGCTTTTTCAAAGAACGGTGGCACACATACGGTGCCGCTTCGCGGCGCGCATGTGAAAAGCCTAAATAGTCACCTAAAAAGCCTTAGAAACAAAAGGAAAGAAAGACAGAAAGAGCAGCGCTAAGAGGGGAAGAAAGAAAGATAGGTGTAGAAAAAGGAAAAGGTGAATACTTAGCCCTTGACTGGGGTAGGGAAACGAACCTCAAGAACAACCTAAAAAGCCTGAAAGAAAGCCCAACAAACGACGAAAAACGCAAGAAGGAAAGCGGGGGGCAGGGAGGGGGTGTATGTCCATGTGTGTGTACGTGTGTGTGTGTGTGTGTTTGAATACCTAGCACTCTAGAATTACTGAATACTTAGACGAGGTGAATTAGGTGCACTAGTTAGGGAGCGGGACTTTAGTCTTAGACCGCCCGGGTAGGATAGACTAGAACAGGAACAACACAGGGAAAGGCACCGACGCACAAGTGTGTCGAGTACCATTTCCCTATGTTGCCCTAAATAGGTAGGGAGTAGAACACAGCGGGGGGGGGGGTTTGGGGAACCTGCCTCATTGGGGGTAAGCACCGTTTTATAGCCCGGCGGCTGTCGAAGTGATGCCGTTTTTGGGCCCGGCGGCCAATGCATTAGTTGATTCTATGGGGGTGGCCGTGACTTCCGGTGAAGGTCCAGTGAAAAGTGGTACGTTGGGGTGGTTGAATTCCGATGCAAAAAACAGCGCCCCAGTGATGGGGATCACACTCAGCACCCGAGTGGGACGGCTGAGCGAAACACACTCTGACACTTGTATTCAGTTAACTCAGTTCCCCGAGGAAAGGAATGGCTCAACGGTAAGATGATGAGTCCGATCATTTGAAGATGTTTGAACAAATAGTTTCCGCACATCTGCAAGTCACGAGAAACAGCGGTGTCGAGCAATCAGCGCGGCTGCACATCTGCTGTGGGAAAAGAGTTTGGGGGAAAGGATCATGAAGAACCATGGAAACAAGCCAAGCAGATTAGACAGCGTGGTCAAAGGTTTCGGTTGCAGGTACACAGGGATGATCAGTCCCTGCATCCTGGTCATCTGCATAGAGCTTCGTTGGCGACAGCTATGCAGTGACCCTGTCGCCCCCTGCCGAAGTCGGTTGAGAACCCTTTGTCCAGGGGTGGACACACACACACATACACGCTCACTACTTTCTAAGTTGTAAGCTCATGTTCTCCCTCGTCGACCACCATGTTTTTTGATGATAATTTCACTGCAAGCCGAGCACTTTAGAACAACCACCAGCAATGCCCAAGCTTTGTGAGTGGCCACCCCTTTCACATCCAGGTGCAAGAGTTCCGCGAGAAGTTCAAGTCTGAAGGCAACGGTCCATGGACTGCCGGACAATGGTGACGTTGGTGGTCATTGGACACAATGAGTATAGCCAGGTGTGCTTCCTCATGTGATTTTGGCGGGCGACTTGAATTGCCTGCCAGACACTGGGGCAGTTTGTCCTGCCACGTTTACACGGGGAGTTGTCGATCTTGTGGTTTGTGCCACCAGAGAGGACTGATTCCAGACATAAAACATCATAAAACCAAAGACTGAAGTACATACAAAGTTGGCTGGCTTGCATTGCCAGGTGCAGCTGCTGCTGAAGGGAGAGGCGGCCAGAGATTTCCTATGATTTCCTGATCATACTGACCACTGTTTGACGACGGCGTCGGTTCGACACACTTTGGACAGATCACCAGCGACCATGGCGATTGGGAGACCTCGTCGCAGGCATCATGGCTGGCAATGTCTTGGGATTATGACATGGGGGGTGTCAGCTGATTTCGGTGCCTGTACAATATACACGGCATCAATTACTTCTCACTCTCTTGCGTTTAAAGGACGTTGGGGCCTTTATAGAGTCTCTTAATCTTGCAAGGATTTGACGCGAACCCCAAGAAACCTGCGTTCCCAGAGCCTGAACAGTCTTGAAAGCACCCTTGCTTGCTCAGTTCGCATGGCGAGAAGAGGAGGTCCAGGAGGACGAGGCCAGACAGGTCCACACCACTTTGAACATGTTAAACCTGTTTCTGGGTACGTCTATATAATATGGAGAGAGCCCCAATCAATTAGATTTTGTGCTCAGGAGGGGTCTTGATCATTTTTCTGTTTACAAGGTCGATGACTGTCTTCCAAGCAGACCAAGCTCTTCAGCCCCTTCCATGGAGGCACGCAATGGCACGCACCACTCCAAGCAAAATGCAAAGATCAAGAAATTCCCAAACCCGAGGTGAGATACCCCCAGTTTCTCAGGTTGTGAAGCCATCTGAAGCCATGTAGCGCCAATAGCCTGGTTGCAACGAGGCGGATGAATCTGATGTGGTGGAAAGCCTTCCACAGGCATCGTGGCAGCCAGGCCAGAACTGCGTTCAGAAGGCTGTTCAAGGTTTTTACATGTTTTTACAATCTGACCATTCCAACAAACAGGCGCGGGTCAAAACATGGACCACCATTCTGTGCGTTTTGGTGTGTTGATCAGCGCTAGAGAGGGGTCTGGACCAACAACCAATGAACCTACCACTGGCCAAGAGAAGCACCACTGACAATACCTTCAGCTATGGACATAGATTCTGCTTCTGCCGAGGTCGTGGAGTGTCTCTCCACAACCCGGTTGGGGTTCTTGTGGATGCGTGCGCCGAGATAAAGTGCCAAGAGAAGTACAGTACTGCAAAGCATCTATTCGCAAGGTATGCTCACATGCCGCAGCCCTTCACAAACTATGTGCATGACTTCCGGGGAATCCTGGACCGATGACATGCACAGAACTTGTTGGAAAACAACAGTTCCAAGAGCCAAGAGTTCTGTATTTCTCCACCTGTCAGGTGAGGGTTGTTAGGTTTTATGTCAGCTGCCGTCCTCCTCCTCCTCCTCCTCGTCCTCCTGCTCCGCCTCGTCCTCCTCCTCCGGACCTCAACCGCGAGCTCCGGATGGCAGTTTTCCCCGCCGGACCTCAACCGCGAGTATGCTCGGCAGTGTTCCCCGCCGGACCTCAAGCACCACAACACGCCATCACAAGCACACGCCCAGAAACACAACCACAAGCGCAATAACGAACACACAACCACAAAATGTCACAAGCACAGCCACAAACCCAAACACACAACAACTACAAACGCACAAGTGCAGTCACAAATACGCAGTCACAAGCACAACTACTAACACAACCACAAGCACACCCACAAACACACACAACCACAAACACAACCACAGCCACCAGCCACAAACACACAACCACAAACACAGCCACAAACACAAACGCAACCACAAACACAGTCACAAACACACACACACAACGCACAGCCACAATCACAGCACACAGCCTGAGGACCCACAAACAAAGTCGAAGAACCACAAAAACCATCAAAAACCATTGCAACATGTTGCTCACAATGGCATGAAGACACATTATTGAATTTTCACGGCGCGGA